ATTGGAAATGGCAAAATCCAATCTACCATTCGTTTCATTGTCAACTCCTCCTCCCCTCCCCAATTCCTTCTTATTATGCTGGAACCTGATGTTGTTTCCACTGCAGCCACAGTATGATGTGGCACTGCTTATATTCTAAGTGGTTATATTTACATGGAATTCTCAGCTACAAGCAGCCTGAGTCTGCCTGTTCAAGGCCATTATTCATAATGTAATGTGATCCTGTATTTAACACAGTTATCTAAATAAATCTGTCCCTGAAATTAAATTTAGTTTCTAAAAGGTTAAGCCTAAATTTGGTTTCAAGCTCCAACTTCTATGTAGGAAAATTAGCAATTTGCTAAGTCTCCACTCCAAGTAAACTTTATTAGCTTAGTTTGTTTTAGGATACAGAAATGAATTACTGAACTGCTGTTCTACATCTGATTTTGGAGCTAGCTGGGTATCCTCTCCTTTGTGAATTACAGACACAACCTGTTCATCTCAAATAGTTAAGGGAGAACTGGATTAGGATAGGGGTTAAAAGAAATGAGGACTAGTGGTATAAAATGTTACAGCATTGCACAGAAATGAGGATGATATTGCCTAATATATATCTATCTATATATCTATCTATATATCTATCTATATATATAGATATAGATAGTTATACAGATAACAGCATAGTACCTACAACAACACAGTAACAGACCTCTTTGCTTTGGGTGCTTAATACAGAAGTGAAGATGACTTTCACAAAGACATTTATTGATGACCTGTATGTTTTTAGTAACACTTCAGACAGTAAAGTTGTTACATAATCAAGCTAAACTTCTATGATATAAAACTTTCTCTACTGAAATAGTAAACATTTAACATTCACAAGTCACAAATTACAACTGCACAAAAATATTGAAAATAAAATAGTACCTAGTTTTTGTTATCTAACTTGCCAACTACAAAGCTGGATCCCATGGCACTAGTCCACTGAAAAGATCACACAATGCTGTTCTCAGACACGATCTGATCTGTCCCTATCCCTCGAGTGTCCTGTCACATCTGCAGAGCACACTGGTGACAGTGAGCTGGACGGCTGGGCTGTAACATTGAGGATTTGTTAGTTCAGCCTTGGCTGGGAGGTCGCTGTTGAGGTGCTCTCATTGATTGATAGAACAGCCCTCTGCATGAGCTGGTGGGATGAGGGTCTGGCCAAGCCTATAAAGCAATGCAGAAGAGCAGGGCTGGAGCCCTGACCTTATGAGTGGTACAGAAATGGTTTGACATGTTCTAAATTGAGCAGGATGTTATTAAGAAACTTAGGGTCTCTCAAAACTTTCTGGAAGGTTTTACTAAGCTGAAAGATAAATTCTTTTTGTGCGTGCGTGCGTGCGTGCGTGCGTGTGTGTGTGTTTTTCCCCCCAGGCTGTTGCAAAACTAAAAATAAATATTTACATTTAACACTTAATATTTCCATATTCAGCAAGTTTTAAGCCTTCAACCACCCTCTCCTAAGGATTTGTTTCTCATTTCAGTAGCAAATATTTCCCTGGGAATACCTGCATTCTTAAAAAGGAGGTCAAGTTTATCAAAATAAACCTTTGCTGAAGCTATTCAAGCAAAACTAAACCAAATCTAGAAAACTTACTGTATTGTCTGCTGATGTCACAGTTTGAAGTAGACAGTGGAAGCTATCACCTAAATAATAATAATAATGCTGGTAAAGTAAAGGACTTGTGCTTACTCTGCAACCTCTTGATGAACAATGTAATATGAAGAAATTGTTAGGCCAAGAAGACAGATTAATCCCCACTGCATCTGTAATGGTTTTGTTGGAATTTGGGCTAACCAGTGTAGATTACTCAGTATGGTTTAGGATGGGCATACAATGGACAAGCAAGTAGGGAGCAGAACACAAAACATGAGCCATATAAAGTACTATTGCACAATAAATAGAAATAAATATAATGCATGTACATGTCAAATATGTAATTCAGTAATTATTCAGCAAAAAAAAAGGTGTTCATTCAAATAAATAAAATTATGGTGGAACAGGGGTTGTAATGCCTGTACTTAGAGTTATATTTTGTTCCCATTAGTACTGACTTGGGTTCCTCACAACAGGAGAGTACAAGGACACACTAAGAGTTTGTAGTATTTTACTTTGGTCACCACAAGAAAAGCACTGTGGATATTCCTAAAAATAACTGCATACTACTTATTGCATATTAATTAACTTTGTGTTCTTTAGGTAGTGGGATATTGTCCTTAAACATCTACAGCCATTTTTCTTTTCATATAAAGAGGGCTCAACCCAAAGTTCCTCAAAGATAGCAGTCATACAGAGCCAAATCTTACTCCCTCCTTTGTTGGCACTGGTAGGTCCTTGCACCAAAGGATATTCTGGCCATCTCCACCTGCCCCTCAGTAGAGACCACATGGCCAAGGGTCCCCAGCAAAGGCCAGACTGTCCCCTCTGCCCTGCCTGTGCTCTGCCTGCCCCATGCACAGGTCTCCAGCCCGCAGGGGGGCAGGGCAGTGTAAGGTTCAGCAATAACATGTTTCTCAGCACCTGCCTTGGCTGCAGATACATGATAGAAGTGGTGTGGGTGTCCTTCCTGTGGGCTCTTCCCTTAGCTGTCAGCTTGGGGTGTTGTGAAACTGCAGCATCTGGCTCTACACAGTAATTCTGTGCTCCAAAAGGTTTACTTTCTGCTGCTGCCCAGTTAGAGTTGCGAGAGAATTTTATCCCTAGATTCTTTTCAGTATCTGCTGATTTGCTCAAGTTTTCTTTTCTTTTAAGGAGCTAACATATTTGGCAGCTGATGATTGTTTTCTTACTCCTTAGGAGAAAGAAAATTTCCCTGCATCATTTAGGAAAGCTTTCCCCTCCACTTTCTTTGCCTATCCATTCAAGGCCAGTGCTGCCCTCAGAGCCCACCAGGTGCAATCCCCTCCTACCTTTCCTTCAGTTACACAGCTGAATGTGCATGCTCCTGCTTTTTCACATGGCAGATGCAGATGACCCCAGCAGCATAGGCTCTTAAAAGCGCAGGATCTGGCATGAAATGATCAAGATCAGTAACCGATGTCTTTGATTTTTATGTCTTCTCTTTGAGATGGCTCTTGTAGTAATGCAATCGATGTTTTGCAAATGTGCTCCCTATTGTGGTCATTGGGGACATTGGATTTCAGTGACCAAAGGGATGAACAGGTGATGAGGAAATACTTGCTTAGACCCTGCCAAGGAAGTTACTGGCCTCCCAGATGGACAAGTTTGTGTTTTATTTATGCAGGAGTTTTGCCACAGGTGAGTATCTTCAGATCCTTCAGGTGACAGGGAAGTGTAGATGTTTCTTCCTGTAACAACTTCTGAGATGTAAAGCAAATTTGTGGCTGCATCCAGCAGGTGGCAAGCACAGCACGCAGAATTAGGGCTGTACAGAGATGCTTCTGCCAGGGCAAGCTCCTGATGCAGCTCAGCATGTGCATGTGTGTCTATGAACAAAATATACAGATAAATGGCAATCTCTGCCAGTCCTTTGTCAACTTAGAGAGTGCTGGGGCACAGATCCTGTTCTGGATGCTAGTGATAATGCATGGGGTTTCTGCCATATTCCGTTTAAACAAATGTCTGTCTCACATGTAAGGATATAAGCTAAACAGAAAATATTCAGTACAACAATTTAAATATGTCTTTAAATGACATAGTTAAATGATGTTCAGGCTTCAAATGCTGAGACACTAGCTTGCAATTAAATTAACTTAAAATGAAGGAGATTTTTTTGTAACATACAGCTTTAGAAGTTGTGACCTGTCACAGCGCCTTACGATGTATATGAGTAGACACGTTCCCATTTTTGCAGCTGGAAGAACAAAGGCAAAATTGAAAAAAACTTTCTTTAGTATAAGTGAATGAAAGACTAGGAAAATTTATAGACCTGGTTATAGCCCCATTTTTTCCTTAAAAAGTATCAAACTACAGAAATAACTGTTTTGCTAGGTTTTGATTTTGATCATCAGAAAATATGGATAATCCAACCACTCACTACTTGAGACAAAGCCACATGAGACATAAGATTTTGAAGACTACAAATACTGCAAATTCGTAAGGGGTATGTAGTTTTCTACATGATACATTTAAAGTTTTGGATTTTTCCTTATGTTTTGTAATCTCAGAAAGTACTTATGAACTCATTTATCTTTGAGGACAATAAATGGGTGTGAATTAAGCATAAATATTATCTGAAGCTCATTATTTGAGGTAAAAAGGACACATATGAGGATATAATTGGTGGAAACTTCTTACAGTGCTTATCACCTTTCCTCTTGATTTGCATTGAGAGTTTGAGCCAGACTTTAGTTCTGATTTATGCTAGTATAAATCTGAATTTGTTCCATATAAATAATAAAATGTTCTACAGGGAGCAAATGCCCTGGGCAAAATTTTATATAAATAGAGAGAAATTCTGTAAAAGCCAAGAGTAAAGTTTGATCTCAGATGTTTTGTGATGGGACTAAAAGTATTATTAATTAAACTGATACATAAGCATTGTCAAATTTTTGCTTATCAGTATATGAGTTTACTGAATGTGCAGGAATTTGAAAAACTAAGTGGATTTAGTGGATTTGACTAATTGGTAACTTCTTTCATTGAGTGTCCTGGTTGTAACAGACAAATAGTTTGAACTTTTCTGATTACTTCTTTCCCAGAACTCATGTTTTCAAGTACAGAATTTTACTTTTAGTCATACAGAGTATGGAGTCAACTCCCTCTGTATGTAAAGTTCTTCAAAGTCAGGGTGGCTTATCTTGAGGAAAGGCTGAGTGAACCCCATTTCTGTGTGCTCATATATGGTATTTTTTTTAACTACTATAAAAATACCCACTGGAATATAAATGTACATTTCTGAAGCAATGTTTGAAATGTATGAGTAGGAATATAAATCTAAAAATATATTTATTCTATATTTAATAAATAAATCTGCATTTTATTGCATATATTATTATGAAAAAATTGCCATTAAAAAAAATAGTAGCATAAATCAGAATAAGACCAATTTCGAGAACCTTAAATTTCCATTTGAGTTTAAAACTGGGCCTCTATATATAACATATATTTGAAAATATATTATAAATATGATTATAAGACATTTATGTCGTAAAAAAAAAACACCAACAAAACAAGAAACAAAGCTCCACTCCTTCAACAGAATAGCTCACATATATGCAAATCAAGTTCTTTGTATTTCATGTTATTTGCACAAGCTTTTCCTTTTGAAACACCTGTGAACTTAAGTTAGGAGTTTGTCCTCCCCTTCTTTCGTAGCTCCGAGCGGACGGTGGGATGCTGGCAGGATCTCTGACATGCCCGTCCAACACTTACGCTGCTTTCAGTAAAGGAGAACAAAATGAAAACGAATCAGTCCTCTTTGCAATGTAAGCTGAAAGGCCACTGCGGACTCTTTACAGTATGATTTCTCGGAGGTGATCCAGTGTTGCTGGAATGAGCTGCGATGTTGAGGACAGCAGATGAATCTTGTTATTCTTGCTGCTTCGCACACAAGGTTGTTCAAGAGAAGAACTGTGCAAAACGCCTCAATTGGTGTCGAAAGGCCCAGCAGTCTTTTTAGTGTGCAAGCGGATATTTTCTGGTGGCCGATAGGAGAGGGAGCTCATTTTTGTTGTTAGGCTTGGATGTGTGCTGACGTTTGGTGGGATGTATTTTATTAGCTGAAGGAAGTATTTTTTAAAGTTTTTTCCAAAAAAAACATAAAAAAATGGATTCAGACAGTTGTTAAAGTAAGCGATACAAATAGTGAAGGGCATAGCTGTATCCACAATATCAGTGATTTTGCAATCTGTTATTACATGTAATTGAATCAACACATCCAGAAAAGTGAACACTTGATGAGGAATCCAGGAAAAGAAAAAGAAAAATACAATTGCCACAATCATCTTAAAAATATCATCATTTCTAGTCTTATTTTTTTGAATTTGATATGCCTTCTTCAGTGTCTTCCAAATTAAAGTGTAGCTTGTTAATATGATTAGAAAAGGAATCAAAAAGCCCAGCAAATTTTTGGATAAACCTAGCCCGACCCGGAGCGTCGTGTTATTGCTTTCATAGCGAAAGCCACAGACCGTCATGTTCAAATTCTCAGCAAAGAATATGTTGCGGTGAATGATGACGGGCAGGCTGGCCACGCCGGCGAGAAGCCAGATGGCGATGCAGGTTACTCGGGCTACAAACATGGTCCGGCGGATGCGCGACTGCACCGGGTGCACGATGGCCAGGTAGCGGTCGATGCTCAGGCAGGTGAGCAGGAACACGCTGGCGTACAGGTTGAAACTTATCCCCGCCGAGGCCAACTTGCACAAACAGTTGCCGAAAGGCCACTGGTATTCCATGGCCGTGTAGGCAGCCCAGAGGGGCAGAGTTATCAAAAAACACAAGTCAGCCAGGGCCAGGTTGAGAAGAAAGATGCTGGCTACTGTTTTTAATTTCATGTAGCAGTAAATGACAATAACGACCAGGCTGTTCCCAAATATGCCTATGATAAAGATGATGCTGTAAACGGTTGGAACCATAATGTAGATGTAGCTGTGCCTTCCTGAAACAGGACAGTCCACGTGGATTCTTTTAACAGTTTCTTCAGTAGAGTAATTTGGTATCATCTTGAACTCTTCAGCTATAACCTTGTTTCAGGGAGAAAATATGAAGCTCACACCTAGGAGAGGAAAAGATGAAGGAAAGAGTATTTGTGAGAGGGATTTAATTTTTAACAATTCCCAACTGAATGTCAAGTCTTCTGTCAAGTCTAACACAATGTGTCTTTGAATTTTAAAATAAGCCATCTTCAAGTGTTTTATCAACCAATTCCTATTTTATACAGACTCTGCAGCGTAAAACAGGTAAGAATATTAGGAGTTGGCTGAACATTTTTAGATTCTTTTTAACATAAATGAAATCTTAAAAACCTCTTTCAATGAACAAATTTCTAATTTAAAATAATACTGGTTAGCGAACATATGTCAAAAATAATAAGAGAGACTGTAAATAGCAGAGAACTATGAATTCAGCAGAGTCTTTAGATTATTTTCTTTCCATAAATAGGTGACATATTTAATGAGGTAAGTTATTCAGATATCTCAGAAACTAAACTTAAGCACTCTGAATACTAATAAGTATTCAGAGTAATAAAGTATGTAAATACAAACTGCAATGAATTAAGAAAATAGGTTACTTTAGATTAGGTACTCATTTTTATCTCTTAGATTAATCACTAGAATTTTTTTTCTATATATTGAATTTAATCCTTGAGGAAATTTTCACATCACAGAGTAAGATGAAAACACAACCTAGTATTCTGTTCTACCACAAATACCTTAAATATTCAGAGGTTACTTAGCTCCCCATCTGGCTTGGAACTATGGTATTTAACTACTGGTGAGGGAAAAAGAATCTGTGAAAATCCAGTCATGTCCTGATCTGTTACACATTAATAACTGTACCAAGAGTTTAAGAAGGGTGCGAGGAGGGACATATTACTTTTCCAGTTGCTGAGAAAATTTATGTATCCAAGAATTGAGGTTGTATTTCTGGATCATATTAAGTGCTCAGGAAGGGTACGAAATCTTTAAAGGGCACCTCTTTGGTTTGCCAGGGCCTGTGTGTTCTGCAAAAATAATTTCCTTATTAATGACTGCTTACTTCAGAAAGCAGGTAATACAGTGTAAGTGGCTCTGATATTCATTACCTTCCAGAGTCTAAAAACAGATAGTCTTCCCTGAAAAATAACGGATGTTTAAAAAAAAATAATAAAAAATGAACAGCTATTATTGCAGAGTAGTGTTTATCACTGTTTGCAGGATCCTGACAGCTCTAAGCCAAACCCAAATCATGATGCTAAAAACAAAGATTAACTGAAATACTTTGGCTTCAAAAACAAAACAAAGCAAACCCCATACAGCAAAAAAACTTTATAAATGTAAGATCCACCCTAAGACCCTGGGCAGTACAGATGCATTCAGAAAGCAGAGATGCCCATCACTACAGACACACCAGCTATGTTGCTACAGATGTGGCTGCTCCTTATTTGCGAGGCTCAGCACCTGATGTTCCTTTTAAGTGCGGAATACCACTGAGTTTAGTGTTTGACTTGCTCTTATCGGAAGACAAATCTTTTTACAAATGATTGTGTTTTTAACAGGGAAGTGAGGCACAGATTTGTTTCAGCAAAGCTCATGCAGGAAGTCTGAAGGAGCCAGGAACTGAACCCAGAACACAAGAGGTTGCAGGCAACATCTTGTGAGTAAGGTTACCCTTTGGCTCTTAGTGTTTTGAAGACTTGTTATTTCTCTGTCTTAGCTCATTTGAAGCATATGTTTGCATTAATAACCTAATTAATTTCTACAAAGCTAGCACAGTAATGTCAAGATTTAGGTTCTTGATAATTCTATCAAGTTTAGAATATCTAATAAAATGCAACTAATAGACACTTGGTCAAGATGTGTCATGCAACACTTCCCAGTCTCTTCAATTCATTCTGTTGTTGCATCAGTTGGCATAGATGTCACAAAATGACATGGACTATTTTTGCCATGTTTGAGAAATAAAAAAATCAAGTAAATAGAGCTAACACAAAGAAAGGTTCACCATTCTGATCACATGTGACACTCTAGTACATCCTGAGCAAAACCTGGCTTTCAAATTGTGCCTGATATAAAATACAAGGTATTTGGCGCTGTGGAAGGTCAGCCTATCCCTGGGACTGAGAATCCACAATAAAAATATTTCAAGATAAATCCTTTTATCTCATCCCTTGCTTATGAAAGTAACTTTGACAGTAACTGATATGTCCTGCAATATCAAGGTCTGGCAACATTACCCTGTCCCAGCTATAGGCTGGTGCTGCAATGTCACTTACAGTCTTTGCTTCCTTATATAGCCACGAAAATTATAGCCCAGAACTTTGCAGTAAGAATCTGTAGCGAAGCTGCAGCTCAGAAGATCACCTGTGAAAGTTCAACTGGCAATAATGTGGATCAGGCCCAGTCAAGCTGGGCAAGGCCTTTCTCAGTGACAAGATTAAGCAGTGCCTGGTACAATTTGGCTTTGTGTTTACTCAGTGACAGATTCATCATCTAAGGCAAATGCAGCTGAGGGTGAACATTCCCTTTTGGTGGGGTTGATTCTGTGCAATGGTAGATGCCAAGGCAATTTTCCCATGGTCTTCTCACACACTCCTTCAGCGTACTCTGTTGTGTTGTTTTGCTTCCAATTTCCCTTTTCTACCCACATGGTGACCTGTACTGTTTAATGTCAGTAGCTTTGGCTGATACTAATTAATAGCATATGTTCTTTCAAGGAAGAGTAACAGTGATTCCATTACATTTTCAGAAATGTGTTAAACAAACAAAAAATAATTCAGTTGGGAATAATTGTCTGTCACTCTGTGGTATTGAATTCCCTGAGCATATTCTAGAGTGCTTGGGAAATAAAAAAAGGAAGAACAATTCCCACGAAGAATCAGGAATTTTGTCAAGAAATAATATTATACCTCAATCTACCTCTCTGTAAGACTGTATAATCCATCTGGAGTTAAAAGGTTTTGGTGTAACATTGAAGTCAGTGGAATTGTTCAAATGATGTGTCTGGTATTACATCAGTTTTAAATTACACTAAGGATTACAATCAATAAATAAATCCATCGATATTTCGATATACCTTGTAAGGTACAAGGAAGCAGAAATATGTAATGTGGCTGCTTTTGGGTAAACACAAATGGATTGCCATCTGGGTATCTGAAAACAGTCTGAATGTTGCTGTGTGAATGAACCTCATAGGAGCCACACATATAAAGCACACTAAGGAAGGCACTGCTAATCCCAAATGGATTTTTTAAATTTCCTGGGAGATTTTTTTTGGAATCACGGCTGTGCTGAGTAGTGAGAGAGGGCTCCCGCTGCAGTGTGAACTCAACAGTCAATGATTTCTTTCCCATACCACCTTCAGTTTTTCCTGTTATTCTCACTGGCCACAGTTCATCTGCTTGTCACAGGATCATGGCTGGACACATGCAAAGCAGATACTTCTACACAGGAGGAACTGCAGATTCTTTAAAAATACTACAGAAATAGATGGCTGATACAGCTTTATGCTGCCAGAATTCAACAAAGCAGGTTAAACCACTGGCCAATTAAATTAATCTATTGAAGTTTTGCACATTGATAATTCCATGTAAAACATCTCAAATGACCTGTGTTAACATAATGATAATTGGATCATTTTAAGGCTGATACACAATGAGCTTTTTCTAACAGGATTGAATTGTGACTATGAGTGGTGTAGTGGCATCAATCTCAAACAAATTATCTGGTGAGCAGCAAGCCCCTGTTCTGAGGTACAGTCCTGTTTGACCTTTTATCTTTTTAAACTACAATTATTACAATAAGTCACTGATAATGAAATGCTTCAGACTGCTCAACCAACTATTATTTACTGCTCTATTCATTGCTTTTGTTGGGTGAACATGCATCCTAATTAAACTGCTTCTGGAAACAAAGAATGCCGGGCTCATGCAAGGTAAACAGCACTTTGCCTACTGAAAGGTAAGATGGCAGTGTGGCTTTCTGTGAGAACTTCACCAGCTAAAAATAGGTAAGCAGGTGTCACAAGTCAGATTTTGAACAAAAATGTACTTAATATTTGCTTTGACAAAGACTAAGTAAACTCAGGCTGACCAATCCTGCCACAGCTCAGCCACCTTATCACTAGGTAATGTGCACTTTCCTTCTTCTGACAGTGGGTGGCTTATTTGTTTTTATTACAAATGGGAAGATAGTTCCATGTTTAAGAGGATACTGCATTCTATTTTTATGTAAAATTTTTGCAGAGAGAAAAGAGAATGAAAAATGTTTAGAGCAGTATGTTCAGCATATTAGCTATATTTATTTCCTTCTGGTGGCGTAAGCTTTCCTTCATTTTAAGAGTTCAGACCCCCCCTTTCCTAATTTATTCTAACTGCTGAGAAAGCAATGACACATATGCTTTATTGCAAAGGCTTTTAGGGTCTTTTTCTATCCAACAGAGTAATCCTTTCTATCCTCTTGGCCTTAGTGAATAGAGCTACTTCTATTTCACATGCACACTTCAGCACCTTCTCTGCTTTCCTGGAGTTCCTGAGCAGTACCATTGAGAAGCCATAGACCTTTCTCCTAGCTCTTATTTCTTCAGCTAGTTCTAACAGTCTGTATTTCCCACTGATGGCTTTAATTCAGAGTTGATAGATTAATTGTGAAGGGAAAGAGAAATACAAACAAGGGTACATGATTCAAACTGTGGTGCCATTACGCTGGGCTCTTGTCATCACTGCCGATACCTTCTACAGATGTCAGCATCTGACTTTGTGGTGGTAAATAAATCAAAATACTACTGAAAAGGAACTGTGATAGGTAGTACAGCACCAGACACTGTCTGTACATCAGCTCATGAACACCAAGAACACAAAGCAAAACTCAGCAGATGTGTTTTTGCAGCTGTCAAGCTGGGTGTTGCTCTGCAATTTTGGATCAGGAGGTGGTCTGACATCAGAACAAACAGAACTTGCAGGACATTGTACTGGCCTTTGCATTTCCTTTCAATAACTGTGCAATTGTGCCAGTCCATTGAAATTGCTGTTAATTTTATGATGTTTGCTTTATTTATTTAAAAGTATGTATCTTTTTA